TTTTTTTTCTTATAAAAGGCTAAATAAAACAAAAATATCGGTTGTAATTTTTGACCATGTAACTTTACAAACGGCACCCCATAAAAAACTGTAGAAAATGTTATTGTTAAAACTATTTATTTGGTCATTATGTTCACGTTTATTTAGGTTACTCAAGGTCCGTGGACCCTTTAACTGACATTATATCCAGTTAGTGGATTATAGACAGGTTGATCACTTCCTGTTTTGTTTTAAAAAACACATGCTCTGATTTCAGATGTTTATTTGAGCTGATGAGTTTCAGTTCTTTTGTAACTTTTGCGTTTGCCGTACAAAAAGCAAGACAACAAAAAATGTGACAGATCAAACTCAAACCTCCGGCTAGGAGGTGCACCAGAGCCACAGAGAGTCAAATAAAGAATTGTTTCTGTAAACTCTTTGGTTCAAAAGTAAAATGTTCAGATTTTTTGATTGTATTTTAGCTGGTGTGATGGAATCCCTCGGCTGAAAGAGACCAAGGTATAAGAACTAAATACTCATGATGTGTCTTTGTGTTAAATTCAATAAAAATGTCAACAATTGTTTTTCTATTTATTCATATATTTCATTCATAAAAACAACAAATTCAGTTAATGCTTTGATGCAGCAATTTTACTTCTTTATTTAAATACAGTTCTGCTCCTGCTGTAGCTGCTGCTAGTATCTCAGAAAGCAGGAGAGAAAAGAGAGGAAGGTAAGGGAGAGATTTCTCACCAGTTACGTATCTAACAAAACAAAAAACAATATATAGTAATATTCTTCTCAGTATGCTGTGGTTTTTAATTCTGTTCGAGAAACTCTTTCGTAATTCTCCTGTATTCAGTTTTATTACTTTATGTTATTAGGTGAAAATCTTAGTTATATAGTACAACTAGAACTCTGAGTGAGGGCTGACSATTAGAAAAGATCAAAAGAAGCAGAAGAAAGAGACAAGAAGTATAAGAACAAGTGTAGCATGAACGACCGTGACCTCTGACATGACCTATTGACCACCACTGGTCATGGCTCATAACTAACTGAACTTTGTTTTTGAAAAAKTTTTCTTAGAGACAAAACTCTATTTTAGCTTCAAAATATGACCTCGTCTATAAAGCTAACATAACAAGTCTTTTAATCTTTTAAGAATCAAGAAGAAAAAAGAAAAGAATCATGATTTTCCTTTTTAAAGGTTTTTGTTTCAAGTGTGTATAACATACTAACTACGTTTACATGGACACAAGTCATCGGATTAAACGGCTGTTTGAAATAAAAATGCGTCATGTAAACAGCCCGTTCGGATTATTCTGATCCGATTGAGCTCGATCCGAATGAATTTTTAATCTGACTGAAAAGGGTGGGTTATGCCGATTGATAATCGGTGTGACGTTCATGTAAACACTTAATCGGATCATCTTATTCTGATTGTAGAAAACTGGCCTGTGTGAGCAGGTCTTCTGACTTTCTGTCACCTGGTTCTGCTCTTTAGAGGAGGCGGGTCAGCAGCGCTCCAGCTGTGCTGCACCGCGCAGAACTTTTCCTCCTCGCTCTCTTAACAGATGAAAATGGAGACAAACAGCAGACGTTGTTTCGCAAAAAATAAAAAAAAAAACACGTATTGCTTCATCTGCAGCTCAACCGAGGAGTAAAGACGTCTCTACCGTTATTAAAAGCTGACACAGGTCCGTCCTGAGTGCACAGAGGAGCTTTGTTTACGTTTGTAACACGGAAGTAGAGCTGAAAGTTTACAACACTGCTCATGTCCGGATTTTTATTCTGAATAAAASTYYGGTGMATGTAAATATTWATGATCAGATTGTGTCCATGTAAACAGTACATTCGGATTATTTAATTGGAATACATTTCAATCTGATCAAAAAAATTTGTGCATATAAACACACTGACTGTGATCTGAATATGAATAATCTGAATTGTCGTGTAATTTTAACATCCAGTCTTAAATGTAACTGTTCTTCTTTTTAGTTTCTCCCAAGCAGATGAGCAGTTGGGAAAAAAAAACCACCTGCGTGTGTGTGTGTGTGTGTGTGTGTGTGTGTGTGTGTGTGTGTGTGTGTGTGTGTGTGAAACACCACTCTAAGTAAACTTAATATTCTCCCCAAAAGAAATGTTGTGTTTTTCTGACAGCTCCTGAGATCTCTGCAGCAGTACCAGTTCCTGAGTCCACAGAGGTATCTGGTTCTATGCTTGCATTTGAGCCTCCATGTAGTGTTGTAGTCAAGACCACCTAACCCGAGACCAAGTCAAGACCAAGATCACAGTGTCTCGAGACCGAGACAAGACCAAGACTTTTAGGGTTTGGACCAGTCGAGACCAAGACCGAGGGAGGGCGAGACCGAGACAAGACCAAGACCAGATAAAAAAAGTGTCCTAAAAGATGGAGTATTTTGTACACGTGCACAGTGGGGAAAAAAAGTATTTAGTCTCTCATTGAGGTCTAACTATGATGTCAATCACAGGCCTCTCATCTTTTAAGTGGGAGAACTTAAACTTTTAGTGCAGACTAAATACTTTTTCCCCATTTTAGCTAATTTAATATGTACAGCTAATATTGACAAAATCTTTGTGTGTGTGAGGGCAGAGGAAAGTATTTTGCTACAGAGGCAGATTGTTAACATTAGTGACGATAAAAGTTTAAAGTTGTCCCATCGTCTCTGAAAGTGAAGCACTGCCGAATTTACAAGTTGCTGTACACTTTCTCCTGGTTGCTGTTGTTTTACAGTGATATTATTTTTGAATAATGTAGCCAAATTTTTTTACTTAAAAGTTTGAGGACATCCTTTACCGCTCCCAGAGAACCACTGCTCACTTTCCTGGAGTGCTGCGTGCGAGTGACGGGGGCTGGGGATGGGTGACAGCTGCTAACAAAAATACATAAATAGCAATAAGTCAGGTTTGGATTTGAATCAGTATGTTTTAAATCCAATGAAAGCAAGAATGTTAACTAATAAACTGAACAATAATCTGGCTGTTTAGTGATATTTCCACAGTTGTGGTCTTGATTGGTCTTGAAATAAAATTCAGAGTCCTCAAAGTCTGACACCGAGACAAGACCAAGACCGGTTTCAAGCACAACACTACCTCCATGGTTCCATGTCTGTGGGCCCCTCTGGTGGTTTGCTGCTCTGCCYAGTGTCTTTGATTAGATATTTCACAGGAATAATAAATCCTAAAGAWTTTTTCACTTTATACAGTAAATAAGGAAAAATGAAGACTCGTATTTTTGAACAGCCTATGGTTYGTTTTTCTTCATTCTTTGTAAAGTGATTAATAAATTGATGTATTTTTCTTTATGGTTTGATTTATGGTTTAATGTGCTGTGGTCCCAGTGTACTGAAACAAAAAATATTCTAAAGAGTTTGAGCTTTAGTCACAATTTTAAACAGGCTGTTKTTGCTTCAAACACAACTGTATTTAACTGTTAAAAAAGTTGAAAGTWTGATGAAGTAGTTGGAGTTTAAAAAAAAAAAACAACCACAGCAGCTGTGTGAACACTGCGCAAATATGTAGAAATGAAGGGTCTCTGTGAGCACTTCAGGTCTCCAGTAGGGTCAAAGTTAGGACTCTCAGCAGGTCTCAGTGGTCTCGATCAGGCCGAGTCAGAGTGAATCTTCTAGAAGGGTCTGGTACAAACCACTTCTCCCACAACTCCCAGTGAACAGCAGGGTAATGCCATGGTTTGAGTGGGCCATTCCAATGCAGCAGGTGGGCCTCCCGCAGGACGCTCTCTGAATAACGAGCATCTGGACTCCAGCCTGAACACAACRTATTTGTGATAAATATATCAGTGTATACAACACCTGACATTAACACAGCTCTAAACTTTTTCTACATCTTTAAAGACACTTTGCAGCTCATGCAGATTTTATACTTATCAGTCTCAGAATTACAGTGAGGAGTTAAAATCATTGTTACCTCAGCTAGACCTTACCCAGGTGTCTGACGTGCCACAGAGGGTCCAGTGTTG